GGGGGGGTGTTATATTAATATGTTACTTATGGGTGGGTTGGGGGTGTTATATTAATATGTTACTTATGGGTGGGGGGTGTTATATTAATATGTCTAGAACGCGCATAGCCAACCACACACACACAGACAGCTAACAGACTTCAAGGTCCAAACTTTTACTTACATATATGTTATTATCCATCTTTGTATTTTTAAAACACGTACGCAGCAAAATTCGCTTACAACGAAATTATTTCCACATGCCACTTATTTTGCTAGTGGGTGGTTGGCGGATGCTCTGCTGTGGTTTGCTTCTTCTTTGTTATCAAACATCAATCGTCCTTGTTTCTCCTCCCTTGTTGGGTACGTTACTCGCTTGTGACATTTTTAATCTTCGGTACTTAGATGACCTAATTGTGTCACAAGTACCGTAAAACTGTTACTAAAACTAGATTGATTTCTCTTTGTGCGTACTAGAGCTCCTGTACTTGGATGGCTGGTGCCTCTATAAATACATCCTTGATGGACTACAGCGTAGTTTTGGTGAATGTTTGGGTTGTACTCTCCCGTTCTTTCTGTTGCTCAAGGCGCGTGTGACGTCATACAGATACGCTCTAACTTTGGAATGCTGTCTGTCACGTGCTGTTATGCGCGCGGGTGGCTGGCGGGTGCTCTGGTACATGAGGGTTGCTCTACGTTCCCAGTCAAACGTCCATCGTCCTGATCTCTCCAGGCTGCTCCTTGTTTCTTTGCATGTTACCCTGGAGTCTTGGCCACGTATTATAACTGGTTTTGTTATCGTAAAAATTGCACTAATACTGAATAAACTCTGTCTTGTGTTCTATGTACGGCTGTAAAAAATAATCACATCTGTTAAATCTCTGTGGTTGTGTTTGTACAGAGAAGTCTGAGCCTATGTTACGAGTTGTATAATAATAGACTGGTTCAACATTATCAGGAATTCTGCCTCAATCATTTCAAAACAACATTGTGATATGTGAAGAGGGGGTGCTACCTTTCTCCTACTTTTATCCCTCCCCCCACCCTCCCCCAATTTTTGTTGTCATTCTTTCTTCGATTATTTCATCTGGTTATTTTTCCCTGGTCATCCGTCATCGTGTTTTACAATTGTTAAATGTTTATTATTTCAGTCACACATTCCTGTGTGGTTTCTGTTCACACTTGTACATAGCAGGTGCACTTAGATTTCTTTCATGTGTCTCTGTGTGTGTTCTATGACACGGTGTTCAGAGACTGGAGTTATCGGAACTTACACCTGTGTTTTAGGAGCGAGACGGGGCGGGCCTAGCCGTTACACACACACAAAAATGGTGAAATGGTACGGGTTTAACGCCCATATCAACACTATTAGGTTATTTAAGGGGGGACCTCCTAGTCTAACGTCCGTCTCCGATAGGACCGAGCCAAATGGGAAGTTCATTTAAAGTGCCTTTCCCAAGGACACAACGTCGGACCGAGCTGAGGCTCGAACCCCCGAACCCGCAATCTCATAATTGAGAGTCCGGTAGCCTAACCACAAGGTAGCCTAACCACAAGGTAGCCTAACCACAAGGTAGCCTAACG